CGTAGGTTGTAAATACATCGTACATACAGGCATCCCATTTTTCCCTGGTATCTCCTCCATCATCAACTAACAAGTTAGACGTTATCATTACAGTTGTATCGATGTCGAAAGTTTCTTTCAAGTCGTTCAACTTGTGAGAGGTCTGTTCGGGAAAACACAAGACCGCTAAGCGATAAGTGCAAAGCCATAGAAATTTCTTACTAAATTTATCAGCTTTAGAAACATCCAATCTTCTGAACTCATTCCATAACATTGACCAGTGATAAATTGCATTGTGACAYACAATGACATCAACATCTTGTAGAAAGCAAAGAAAGTTGTCGGCCACCCTCTCAAACGATGGCTTTGTGCTCAAGAACTCAGGAGAGAACCGTCTCTCACATGTATACTGTCGTTGACTATCCACGTGTGGATTGACTAACCGCGTCCAAACTGTCATTAAGCCATTTCTCTTGATTTTCAAGCACGCAATTTGAACTACTTTGTCGTCTTCTGTAAAGCCCGTTGTCTCCAAGTCGAGAACTGCGACAGTTTTATCCGGTTTTATATTCCTCCTCATTGTGGAATCAAGCTACCGACAAARACAGAGACTCAACTGTCGTAGAAACGTGTGACAGACTGGGTCACATTTTGATGCGCAAAGACTCTTGGGCCTCATTACCAGTCAATTAAGGCCCCGCCCCCAATCGCSGGCGGGGAGGGCCAGGGAATTACCACATTATAGCCGGGGATTTAGCAGGAGGAGCCGACGGGGTCTGTTCTTCTAAAAAACTGTTCTTGTACGAATTTTTTACTGGGAAAAGGATTTTGAGCTACATTGTTGAATCTCACAAGTAAATGTCGCGCCCTTCCTTCTTTAAAAAAAAATTGTTCCTGGCAAACGTTAATGTAATGTAATGTAATGTAATGTACGACTTATATGACATCTTTCTAGTATTAAAAGAACAAGAAAAGAGCTGACGAAATTGCAGTGAGTTCACTTGAAAAAAGATCAACATATTAAAAACCTAGCTTACCTACTTTTTTACGGTGTTAAATTTATCTTTTTTACACGACTGTTTCTTTAGTAACACCGACGCAGCTCACACTAGTTTACCGCTWGTTCCCACCACCCTATTAAGAAAATCCATATCTATAGTATTCAACAGCGACAAACGTACATGGAAATGTCCTTTCAAACTAGTGAAGGCATTCCAAACCAATATTATAGCCTGGATAATGTTTTTTTTGACGACGAATTGAAAACGTCAATCATGACACTGATTTAAGCCAATCAGGATGCGGGGCGGCCACGAGAACACGACTTGGTGGCCCGTTCTAGCAGTCTCTTGTTTTTCCCCTCCTCCCTCCTCACTCGTCTCCAACCAGAGCCTTCGATTTTCCGTTGGGAAAGTGAGAAGGACCTGGGTATGTTAACACCTCGGCAATAACCTTTTCCAGGGACGCCAACTCTCCCGGATAGTCCGGGAGTCTCAAGATTTTCGACCGTTTCTCCCGGTCTCAAGATTTTACCGCTAAATCTCCCGGATAATGACGATTCATATATCAGTTTTTTGAAATACACTGCACGCCATGCATCCGCGGCCATTTTCAATTGCACACTACAATCTATAATATGATTGGTTAAGATACATCCAATCAAATCACTAGTTATAAAGAAATTTGATAAATGCGATGACGTCATCGATAATGTTATGAAACGTCATTTCCGGTATGACGTCATTTTCGTTCATGTATATTGTCTCAAGATTTGAAATTTTCGGGTGTTGGCATCTCTGCTTTTCATGCTTTGTTTGTGTACTTATGTTCTCCTCAGTTATGATTTATTTTTCACTATAAATAATGTAATAATCACCTGAAATATTTTACTGTGGTTCCAGGGGCTTCTGGACCCCTTCTAAGACCCCTTATCAATATTAAATTTTTGATTTATTTGCAACATGTCTTTAATTCTTCAAGTAATGATTCTGAATGTTTCCATCCAACCTCTATAATCTCTTCCAACAAGGGCACCTAAGCATATTCTTGAACACCAATACCTTGAGAAGATGTTTCCAAAATCATGCTAGACTCTTCTAACAACTGTCTTAGCATGTATTGAAGGAGTAATTTGAGCACTGAAACAGGGCAGCTGGACAAGGCATTTGAAATGGTTGGAATATTCCCACTCGGCCAGTTTCTCAGGTGAAGGTAAGCAGCAGTTAAAGACATCAGACTTATCTGCACAACATGAGTTATAGAAAACTAGAAATATAATGGCTAAAAATAATAAAAACATGTATTATAGTTAGTTAATCTTCCTGTGAATTATTTTTAGAAATATATGACCCCCAGAGATCAATTAATGTGACACTTAATATTTATATACAGTAAGAAATATTTTGGAATTGTTTGTTCCAAACTCCTAGACTTGATCCTTGYCTCTCTAGCCGCTTATTCTCAAGAGACAACAAAATTTTCTGAACAAATGTTTTTCCAAAGAGCTGCTGAAGTTGGCAGTGAAAGGTGCGAGAGAGACTAGATAAATTCTAATCAACATGTACTCAGCCCAACCTTACCCAGTCAATAAGAACTTTATCATTTATATGCATGTATGTTACRGGCAAAAATCTGTATCTGCCCCAAGCACCAGTATTTTCCAAGGTTTTCCAAGTGTGAATAGGGTCAAATATGGGACATATATGATACATATAACTAATACTATAATTCAGTTAATGAGCTATATAAGGCAAGGATACACGCATAACCAGCAACAATCCCACCAAGATGCAAAAATACAGCACCATGATGAAAACAAACAAAATAAAGAATAAAAAATATCCATGGTAATAGAAATACTGGAACTTGGAAAATACACAAACCACACTGTTTGTGCTTGACAGCTTGAGATAGGACAGCAGTCAGTCCAAATGCAATTCCAGAAAAGCCCATGTTGCARCCATGGAACAGACTATGAAAGACATGGTATAACATTGTTGCCATAGCAACTTCAAGAGTTGTTGATATCACCCAGCATATTATGAGAAATAAGAAGAACAGAATGCTCCCAACTTGTTTCTCTACTAATGAGCCCACGAAAAGCATAGGGATCATTGTGACAGCCAAATGCCAAGGTCCTTTGTGTACGAAAGTGTACGTAAAAATCCTATAGACTAATTAAGAACGAAAACTGATTAGAATATTTAAGCTTACGATAAATTTGCTAAATGGTTTAACGTGTACCTTGTCCAGAGCGAAGTATTTCATGGGAGCTAAGACAYAAATGCTTTGCCGTGTGTTTCCATCCAAATAGTTGGTGAAAATCAATCAAAAACATAGTTGTGCAAAATGCAACACAACAACTGGTAATCAAAGGAATTCTCAGAAATGCACAGAGTTTTCGACCAGTCGACATGTCTTTGATTATAAAAATCAAATCTTGCTGTTCCTTTATGCGCAATTGAATGAGATATGATAAGAAATCAACGGGAGAAAAAAAAAGGAAAAAAAATTCTGAAAGGAAACAAAACTGTAGACAGCGGTATTCGAAGTAATAATATATGCGCGTATTTTAAAGTAACCACTGACCAAGTTGATGAACTTGTCAAAAAAATATAGCTTTGAGTGCAAAATGAGAAGTTATTTTTTGCAGTAATATATCTCTTTTTTTCTAGACGARGCCATGGTTTAGCGTCGCATCTGAAAGATGAGGTACGCACAGTTCGTCATGGGACCGGCAGGAAGTGGGAAGGTAACAATTTCAATAATAGGCTTTCTTCAAGGACAACTTGCTTTTCACGTGGATCGCAGTGACTAAGCTTTAATATAGCTTTCCTTGCAATAGATCTCTGTATGTTCCAAGAATTACTGCAGTCTGCATCTGAAAGAAAAAGTTGTTGCCTTGACTGCACATAAAAT